GAGCTCCCGCAGGTCCCTCGGCCTCAAACTGAGCCACGACTGCAGGGACCTACAGCCCCGAGAGACCCCAGCCCGGGACGAGCCCCCCACAGTCCCTAGATAAGCCCCCCCCACAGCCCTGAGCCCCCAGCCTGGGACGAGCCCCGCTACAGCCCGGAGACCCCAACCCGGGACGAGCCCCCCACAGTCCTGAAACATGCCCCTCATAGCCCCAAACCCCAAGTTCAGGGTCCCAGTCCAGGACGAGCCCCCCCTACAGCCCAGAGACCCCAGTTCGGGGTTCCAGTCCAGGACGAGTCCCCCTACAGCCCAGAGACCCCAGTTCTGGATGTTCCAGGACTCCAAAACCCAACTGCGGTCAGGTGTCCCGTTTTGAAGGCTTACTAAAAATATTTCCCCCTCGTCATTCTACAACTTCCCATCAGCACATGGAACAGGGAAGGTTCAGAGGAAAGGAACTGGCCAATCTACTCCCAGTCAGCATGACGCACCTCACTGCTGCCATCGCCTGCCCTTCTTTCGGTGCTACTATTATCAAGAAAACATGACCAAACACCTCAAACTGGCAGCCTGCTGTGGGCGAGGGCTCGTCCGGGCTCGAATTTCAAAGTGACCTGAAAATACCTGCCTGCGCTCCGAGCACACTCCCTCCCACTCGGCGGCCGAACGCAAGGGCCCACACCATCCTGTTTCTTCTCTCAGACCGGACAGGAAGTGACCCCTCCACCCCCGACCATCTTCCCAGAAGCCCTTACAGCCTGGGTCAGAGAAACCCACACCCAGGGCACACTTAAAACACGAAGAGGCAGGCTTCCCCTTCCTGAAAGGAAGTTTAAAGCCAATAACAGGAAGCAGTTCTTTACACAGAGAGTGGTGGGAGCGAGGAGCAAGCTGGCCAGATTTTTTTGTTGAAGCAAAAACTTTTTTTTTAAAAAAAAACACCTACTAATGAGCTAACGGACAGCCCAAATGGGCTCCTCGATTATTCTAGCATTCCTGCAATGACTAAAAAAAAAAAACACTTCCTCTTGCAGAAGTTGGATGAGCTCTACGAAATGTGCTTCTGTTTGCCTAGAAAAGGGGGCACAACGCAGAGGTCACCTGCTCACGTCAGCAGCAGTCTCCCGCAGGGGGGGGGAGGGGGGGTCAAAGGTCGGTGCCTGGCAAGACTGGCGCAAGGGGAACATAAAAACACACGCGCGCAAGGCGTCATCAGGCTTAAGCGTTAAGACAAACATCAACAGAACTTTGAGCCAACAGTTAATTGCTCACTGATAAAACTGGTTGTCAACAATCCGGAGCCCCTGCTGTCGGGCACCGCTGGCCCAGTGGGACCAGTGCCAACAGGCCCTGCCGCAGCGCAAACACCAGAGGCGGGTTTCTCTCGTGGCCGGGAGCCTTGGGGGAAGAGATCCCCGTTCCCAAGGGAAAACCGGGCAGCCGGATCTCCGGGTAACCTGGGTCCTGCATTCCACCCCAAGACGCTGGGCGCAACTGGTGTGGGGCACCCCCAGCCTGGCACATCGTGCACGTCACCCCCCCAACCAAAAAAAAAAAAAAAACCTGTTGCTTCACCAGGATAGCTAACAAGCAGGCAGATCGGTGTCTGTTAAGCCCTACAGGGGACCAAAGAGGTCAAAGGTCAAACGCCCCCGGTATCGGACAAGATGAGCAATGCAATCTAGGGGAAAAAAAAGTGTCTCCTGCACAATGAAAAGCAAGCCCTGCTCACTTTCTCCAGTCCTGGTCAGTCACAGTTTCGAGAGTGTGGAGGAGCCTGAAATGAGCGCGTTCCGATCGGAGCATCCTCACAACCTGTACCCCTTTCCCAAGCCTGCCCCTGCAGCGCCCCCAGAG